AGACGCCACCGAAATGGGATGATGGTGCTGCATGTGATACAGAGAATGGTACTATTCTACTTTGAATTCTGGAGCAAGTTACGAGTATACAAAAGGCACACCGAACATGTTGAAGCAATACTGCACCGCAGCACTATAAGCTAAAGTAACGGAAGCAATACAACAAAACATTTTAATTTTTTTTACCTCGTTTCCATAAATGGCAGGGTGCTGCGCAGCACACCTGCGGAATTTGCGAAGAGAGCGTTCTACCAGAGTAACCAATTGAAAGTCCCTTAAACTACAGCGGCTTCAAACACGAGAAAGCAGTTTCGTTATCACCTTCGTGAATTTCACTACAGGTGCTAGCTTTTCCTCGCCACTTATAAGATCAGAAGCAGCTCTTCGCGAATCACGTGTGTAATGCTACAGGTACATGGGTCCATTCGAACATGCCGGAAGGCGTTCTTCTCAGCGCAAGCGTTGAAGCAATGTCAAGTAGGTCATGCCACAGCTGCGCGTTGACATCACGCACACCTCGCACGCTTCCCTAGCAGGTGCTATCTCCCTCACCCTCAGCACGCTCGCCTCCGCACCCGCAGCAGCCTCTTGGTGCTGCGTGTCTTCAGAAACTTCTGAACGTGAACTTCACTGATCACACGTCACTGTGAACGTGAACTTCACTGATCATGACAGTCAAGGCGAAACGCATGCCTGCTGTGGTCTAGCATCCGCGTCTCGACTCTGAAGAAACGATGACTAAAAGTCTTGCCAAATGCTTTAACAAAACTTACACAAACCCAAACCCACCTCCTGTGTCTATACGTTGCAAACAAACGTTTACTCGAGTAAACGCTACACCGAGTTTTGCTTCAAACCAGTTCCGCATCTTCGTCCACGCCTGTTTCAACCGGGTCAACGCCGTGCGCACCCCTATTGCTTCGCATCCCTACGAGTTTTCTTAGGGAAGATGGTCTACATTTTTTTCTTCGGAACACACCTGAGTGCACCTCCCTCCAAATTTTTTCAAGTGAAATGGGGAAGGAGGAAGGTGCTCCGAGCATTCCCATACCTTTACTAAGGCGTAGCTGCCACGAAGGTGTTCTTAGTGCACGCTAATGGCCCTCCCGGTTTCCGATAAAAAAGATGACAGTGGGCCACTCATGTTTCAATCCGAAAGCGGAGATCAAGGCTTCGATGAACACCTGTCTGATCAGGAAGAATTCCTGAATGAAAAGATGAAGACGCCAACAACGAGAAATTGATAATAGATGACGTTTTGGGATTCAGAACGGGAGCCCCACTCGAGGTAAAAGCTAGTCTGCCACCCGCGTACGCAAGATGTTTACATCAAGTGCGTAATACAGGTTAAACAATAACTTTCCCTCCTTCTCTTTTATTGCGAACAAGGCTGCCGTTCAGGGAGCCCAAACATCGCCGCATTTTTAAGCGTTTGAAGTTGTGGGCGTAATATTTGATAAAACATTGTGGAACAAAGGCGGTAATCATATGAAGGGCGTCATCACACCGATTTTTCGACCTGTACCACCAGGCAGTTGAACAGAATAAAGGCAATGTTGTTTATTTTCACCTAAGTGATATTACACTATTAGGTTTTACGCTATTAGCTGAAATGCATTTTTAAATTTTAATTTAAGTTCTTACAGAGCGAAATCAGAGGTAGAATGGCTACAATGCCAGTCCAGATCTTGGGGGTATTTCTTTGCGCTGGTACTTCCATTCATTAAAATGAAGCAACTTGCCTAAAAAGAGGTATTTGTTAAGAGACATTGTGAATATTCTATATCTTCAAAGGCTCCCAACGGATCTTTTTGTGGTTCTGAATGGACTACGTAAGTGTCCTATTTATTTTAACAATAAATCGCTTTACACCGGCTTCCATCAAGAATTCAGAGAGGTATTCTAGTTAAGGAGAAGACATTTATAAAGTGCACGCCACCACATCAGAAAGAAGCTGTGAGGAAAATTTCCCTGCTCCGGAATGGAATGTCCGAACCATTGGCCGTCGAAGATAAGCGCCCGGTGGGGAACTGTCTGAGCTATTGAAGCTTTTTTTTATTACTGCTTAACTATCGAGACAGATCCAAAGCTTCAGACAAACATCGTCTACTAGGGTTTCCCGTCGACTTGCGTTCTACATCTTGCCCCGCCCCTGCCGCGGTGGTCTAGTGGCTAAGGTACTCGGCTGCTGACCCGCAGGGCGCGGGTTCGGATCCCGGCTGCGGCGGCTGCATTTCCGATGGAGGCGGAAATGTTGTAGGCCCGTGTGCTCAGATTTGGGTTCACGTTAAAGAACCCCAGGTGGTCTAAATTTCCGGAGCCCTCCACTACGGCGTCTCTCATAATCATATAGTGGTTTTGGGACGTTAAACCCCACATATCAATCAATCATCAAATCAATGCGTTCTACATCTTATCACCTCCGAGACGGGCGAGCAGGGCGCGCGCGCTCTGTTTTCTAAGATAACTGCAAAATAGCGCTCATGTCTCACGTGTGACGTGACTTGATGCGTTCGTTTTCCTCCGCTGCAAGCTCGAGGCACTCGAACGCAGTGCCTCCAGAATACCATTCACCGATTTCATGTCACAGAACATCAAATAACCGTTTCGTTCACTCTTTCCAGCCGCAAGACTATCGTATTTCGACGACATTCGCAGTGTAACAACCAAATACGGGGCCATTTTTTTCTGCTTTTTCTTCACCCAGTCTTTACACATCTTGATTCTTACACACAAATTGCTATTTCTCTCCTCAATCGACGAAGCGTTGTTGATGTGCATATCAAGTGCCAAGGTTTATTACAAACTTGGTGATGTCATCTTCTCATGGAATTCACGGTGTGCTGGGTCCAAGTATCTTAATAATTTCTGCTACAACAATTGTTAACTCTTTCAAGAACAGTACGTTATTTTTTAAGGAAAACAGAGGGGGAAGAGAAATAAACGTTTATTTTTCGAAATGGTGTAGCGGTGTAGGGTTGGCGTCTACCCAAGGTGGTAGGTCTCCTCATGCCAGAAACCCTCTGGCCTTCGCTGCCTCCTTTGACCTGGCGAGGATATGTCGTTGTTGGTCCAGTTCCTCCAAGGCGAGCTTCGTTTTTTTAATAAACGGTGATAGGTTTTGGAGAAAATGAATTTATCGCAAGCAACAAAAAGATTGGCAATTTTAACTCACTAGATATGAGGCAGTCACCTGAGTTGACCTTCATGCTCTAAGGGTATAGAGGCGACTTTCGATGAAAGTACTGTTCATCATTTTTGTAGTTCGTAGCATTACCTACTAATGCTACATTCTTTTCGGCCCTGTCAGCACACTAGGAACAGCACATACTTATATACACATATAAAATATATATTGGGTCCACCACCTATCGTGCCCTGAGGATGGTGGCAGCTAGAAGAAAGCAAACGTAACATGTAACAATGAAGCCAAAACGATGTACTGTCATCTACGGTAGATTGCCTAATGTTTTGAATTATGAGCCACTTAAAATCTGGCACGTAGAGCCCACGTGTTTCAATAGAAAAAAAATGGTTACCTGGGGCGGTCAACGTGTGGGAAAGAGTTAAATCCTGATCATGAGCGTTAGTCATGGCGACGGAGATGTGCCGCCAGGCGCCAACGGAGGTGCATTCGCCTTAAACAATGCAATATCTGCCAAAAATCTATTCACGTTGTACAAATTCTCATACCCAAGCACTACTTCTGTGAACACAGTTTTCACTACGGTGTTATACCGATCCATCTGAAAGAAGAATAAGTCATGTTTTTTTTATTTTATTGACTGTGCTCTCATGAGCCCCAGGTACTGTTGCAAACAGTTGTCTAACAATATTATATCGATTGCAACTATGAACACAACAAGATTTTGCATTGCGATAGGGGAAGGGGCACGGTGGTGGATGTCCGTGCTTGTATGCGGCAAAATAACAGTACAGGTTATGTTATTGGGGTCTACAAGCCATTAATAATCTTTATGTTATGATCACTCTGCGAAGAGGTGTAATCTTGTGGAAAGATACTAGAAAGAAAAAGCGATTTGCAAGCTTTAGGTTAACATATATTGTTTGCGAGAAAGATTTGGTCCGGAGTGGCAATGTTGATTGTAAGTTAAATATTCGCAAACAAAAATAAGAAAACATGCACTGGTGTAGTCGCAGTATTATAGCGATACATGAGAGGTGTTATGATTATGAATGAATTCAAAGTTGTAAATGAGGTGGAACTAGACGAAACCTAAATAGTTCGATTATCTCTCAATTTTTCTTACTTAATTTAAGCATAATTACCTTTGTACGTGGCAGAATATTGTTAAAAAAGGTAAAGATTAGACATCTCAGCATTTTTATGCACAATTAAGTAGGCAGTTAACTTGCGCATTCTAATGGAGCTTGAGAGCTACATGTAGGCGAAGAAAGCAGCCACGGATAAAATGGCTAAACAAAAGCAATTAATAGTACATGAAAGCTGTAGTTATATTTGTTGTGCAGGACTGCATTTTTTACCCTACTAATATAAGCAGTTGGTTTCATGTGCCACTGGTCGTGTACATAGGTATAGCTTCAGAACCGGATTGCGAAACTAAAACGCCATGTATTCTAGGAAACTTGGAGTTAATACAAACGGGAACCCATCCCTACAAATAATAACATAGGCTCTAATCCGGCAGACGGCAAACATCAAGGGGAATTGTCCATAAAATTGCAATGAAATAACATACACGATGGGGGGACATAGTTTTGCATGCCACAACCTGTCTACACGACTGATAGAGACACCAAGATGTGTGACCTGACAACGTTTGCCTAAATAAATCTTGATCTCATAACAAAATTTCTGTCTTAGGGTACAATGTTGATTCTGTGATTTCGAGAGCTGTGTAAGTTCACAATTATTTTGTGTACTTTGGGAAAAGTACCCAGAAACGGTTCGCTGACAAGGTGTTCTATCCGCACACTGTGTTATCGATTGTGATTTACTATCGTTCGCTTGACCGCAGGCTCCTTCAGGTGATTGCGAGCGAGGAGGAGAAACGGCTCATGTGGGCGGTGACTGCGCCGACGACGGTGAGCCGTCGGAACTTCGGTTACACTGGCACGTGATCCTAATAGCCGTTCTTATGGACTTCGGTCAGTCGGCGGCATTTCGATCATCGGGATTCATCTATGTCGCCCTCATGGATCACTTCGAAGTCGACCACGAGGCTGCATCATGGCCCGTCAGCGTTCTAGGCACAGTCGTCGACGCAGGTGGTATGTACTTCAAATTACTACCGCGCATTAAATCCGTTTAAAGGATCCTATAGCGCTATTGATACATTCTTACAGCGAAGATGCAAATAAGAAATGTTAAGATCGAACAAGGTGGATCACGGAGTAGCTCTAATACATTTCAAGTAAGGTGAGGTGTAAGTTGTGTAAACGCAAGAAACGTAGTTGTAAATTGGATGAAGCAAGTAAAAGGAAAGATAACAAAGGCAGGAATGTTAATCAGTTTCGCACAACCGGCATTCTACCTTGCGAAGAGTGAGAGTTGGGGGAAATCAAAAAAAATATTAAACAGAGAGAGAAAGAAATCACACACGCGCACGCGCACGCGCATTACGGGACAGCGCAGAGCGGCAGCCTTGGGCTGCATAAAGCACCAGTTAGAGTATACAGGCAGTCGTAAATGTCTATGTCTTTGTACACAAATAACACACAAACAGAAGCGAACTTGCCATCATGCCAAGGCGAACTAATAACAGAGGTTTGTCTTTGAACGCCGCTAGAATAGTCGGCCCTCATTGAGTGGCCGCACTTAGGCTATCAGCGCGCTCTAGCACTGACTGCACTTGCGCGGCGTGAATGATGCGAAGTAAGGAAGAGAAGAGGCTCACACTACGGGAGTGACGTCAGCCCTTTTATCACTCTTCAGTAAGGTGTACCATATGAGTCAAGAGCGCAAACACCGCCTAACAGCATCCTCATGAATCAAATGAGAACGCATCTTGGACCTTATGCAGCTTAATTAGCTGGTATATGAGGTACAAAAATTATTAGGTGCCCGTCAAGTCACCCAGTGCTCAGGTAATAGCCAACCTGGAAACGTCAATTTTCAATGAGCCAAAGAATTTGGTAGTTAATGTGTTGTCATCTGCAGAATGCAGTACCTAATTGTGTAGTTTGCTGTGGGGTCAGATTGTAGAGTGGGCGGAATATGATGAATATACGGAGCAACTATAGTGGGCCAATACCCTAAACAGAAATTATCACAAAAAACTGAACTCAGAATTAGGCATATATATATATATAATGAAATCGAATGAAAGCAAAATATCACTACGAGAAAATCCTCATATGTTTCACTGAGTCAATAATTTTTATACCTAAATTCAGAAGGCAACAACCACAAAACGGTTAGTGCAGGAATTCGCGATTTGTCAGCAAGGCGTTTTTCAGGGGAGAGAACCCAATCCTGGTTTGATTCTAGAGCGAATGATTTGACTGGCTACCACGTAGCGTTGTGAAACTATCAGTAATTGAACTATCGATAGCATGGATAGACCTTTAAGAACAATAGATTGTGTAAGAAAACTAGAAACAGTATTGATATCATTAAACTATCAATTTTGTTGCCGATAGTGCAAGTGACAGCACCATTGCTGGAGTTGCTTCAAAAAATATCATTGTTAGTGCCGTGAATAACGCCGTTTTTGGCTGGGGATACTGCCCGAACATTAACTGCAGCATTTTATCAGCAATACTCGGCTCGGTTCTACGGATGATGATGATGACGTGTGCGGTTTAACGTCCCAAAACTACCATATGATTATGAGAGACGCCGTAGTGGAGGGCTCCGGAAATTTTGACCACCTGGGGTCTGTTATACGGAATCTTTTGGTCAAATAAATAAAAATATTAGCAAATATTATTTAGTAATATTAAATTATTGAAATATTAAAATGCCGGATCATTTTACGTCAAAAGTAATTAGTTACAACTTATAATTATCAACTTAGTTTGTGATATTTTTATGTTGTGACGCGATAACGCTACAATTACTACTTGATATTATAATGCGCATTTGCCATTAAAATTTGAAGCCACACAATACCGCCATATGGAACGACCTCCTTCGTACCAAAGGTAAAACGCTAACCTAATTGTGTTGTTCTTTGAAGCATTCGGGTGAAAGTATTGGGGCATGTCAGTTTTGTTGTCCTTCATGCCACTCTTCCTGCACCAACTTTCACGAGGCACACGCGGAACGATGTTTATGCATCTATCAGTTGCCATGGTTGATTTTGCATTATTGAGAAGGCTCTAAATCATCCTATTGATAACACTAGCCTTCTTTTACAATCAATATTTCAATAGTCGCTCAACTATAACTAGCATCGATAGGGCTATCCATAGTTCTGCGTGATTACTACGGGAGTGTGACTGGTTTTCATGAAATCATCCCGTGCGATTCCTAACTTTATTATGAGAACTTTTCGCTCTTTTATCTGGTTGCAAGTGGCTAGCTAGATCGAGGCTAATATAGTGGAGTGGTGTAGCGGAGATAAAGGTTGATTACTGAAAAGCAAGTAGGGCTGTCATTACATATGCAGGCCATCTAGGTGGACATTTTTCCACATTTTTTTACCATTTTTCTACCATTGGCTATCACTTTGTACATTTTCTAATGCGTTTGTCTTAAGATATTCTTTTAAGAGTGTTAGAAATAGTTACTTTCAAAGTGTTAATTACAAGTCGTGCTGCCAGTGGCACTTAAAGTTCTTTCTTTCTCATGCAGGTATCTTAGCAGGACCACTCTGCCAGTGGTTCGGTGCCGCTGCTACGCTGAGGGCTGGAGCCCTGGTGACTGCAGTGGGAGTAATGGCTTCTGCATTTGCGCCAGATATCCCGTGGATGACAGTCACACTGGGCGTCATTCACGGTGAGCATTATTTCAAAATCAATGAAACGCACGGTAACAAGTAGTGAACAGGAACACCGACAGTGACATGAACACCCTAAGCCTACATCAGCGAGTGCTCTGAGTACATTTGCCTGACCGCACATTCTCAGGCGAAGTGTACCGGCTAAAGGGTTTCTCACCAATAAATAGTGCTGCTTAAACTTCATCAGTCATTACATTATTACCCTTACAAGATTATGCTACTTACATAATTACTATCCCTAAATAAAAAGAAATCTAATTACGTCCTCTTTAAGCCCGTTGATAAGCCCTGTGACACACAGCTTACGCTATAGACGTATCAGGGCACCGTCTTAGAGCGCGTAAAATGTCAGAAATTTTTAGGCGTATGGTTTGAAGAAAGCATGTCGTGGAATACACACATCAATTATTTCACTTCAGAGCTAAGCAGAGCCGTCGGTATAATATTTAAACTATCCCATTTAATTCCTTTACATCTAAAAAAGGCGATATATTACGCGCATTTCTACTCCCGCTTATCTTATTGCACATTTGTTTGGGGTACCACAACAACTACTAATTACTACAAACTAGAAACAATGCAAAAGAAAGTGCTCAGACTTTTCGAGAACTATTTTGGCGAGCCAAAAGACTTACCCACAAATCCTTTATTTGTTAAGTATAATTTGCTTAAAGCAACCAAATTATACGATCATAAACTCCTGCTGCACATACATAAACATGATCTGATAGACATGGCACATGCAACATCAAGACGTTATCCACTACGTAATACACAGACACCAAAACCAAGAACACGTACGAACTACGGAAGGTCAGCCCTCACTTATCAGATACCTGCACTAATAAGTCGTGTATCTTCACAAATAAATTTTCATATCCCATTCCATAGATTTAAAAAACAAATAAGGTTTTTCCTATTAAATGACTGTGCAGCCGTTACAGCATAACCTCATTAACTGTCACTGCACCACTGTTTTTGCATTGCATTTTTTATACGTTCAAACTTTTGCATTTTCGGTATGTGCAGTTATCCTAGTTATATGAGTGCATTTTAATTTCTGATGCATTTTCCTGTTGCATTCATTTCGCTGTATCTGTGCATTTTTGTTGTACCTCCTTATATCTACTTCGCTATGTATCGATGCTATTATATTTTGTCAAGTTGTATAAGTTGTATCATGTCGTGTTAGTTATACTTTTTATTCGCTGCTGCCTGTACGGTCCCCCAGGTCCCTTCAAGCTGTTTTTGAACAGCTTTTTTGCCTGGGGAACCCCCAACTTTTTGTGTTGGAAATAAATAAATAAATAAATAAACATATAGAGCGTTGCACGTACATTTAATATAGCCGCAAGGCAAGCTTGTTGGTTGCACGCATCATTGCATCTGTTGACGTTTCTCCTCAACTGGCATGACACCTGCGTAAATTCTTTTTCTGAAGAATTTTCAAGTGCTGGCGTGGTGCTTTGGTAGAAGGCTTGTCCAGCCGACATAATGTATCTGCTTTGTTTCGGCCAGGGGCGTGCTTTTACTTTTTGATTCTGCATGTGTGCACGTGATATTTCGTACCACATGCACGTTTTGCAAGGCCAATGCCTGAGGCCAGGGCATTTGCGGTTATCGCCTTGGTTCTTCAACACAAGGCCCTAGCTGATAGATAGTTCCTCACCAGGACCAATGCTATTTCGTTTTTACGATTATTCAAGCAATCACATTTGCCGCATTATTTGCTTAAAACGTTAAGAAGCCCCCTTTTCGTGACTAATAATCGTCCGTTGGTCAACACTATTAAATATGAAGTGTACTTGCATGGCGAAACTAATTAAATTGCTCCTAAATGCTATGACAAACAGGTTGTTAAACACAGTGTTACTCAATCGCCAAATTATTACCTTTTAAACGGGAACTTGGTAAAGCTGCATGTACCTGAAAATGCAATATTTTTCTATACAGATTGCAGGGTGATTTCATGCTATAATCTAATTAGGCAGCCTGAAACGATGTATTCAATATGGTTTTTTTCCTAGAACAGTGATATTTACTTATGCTGCTTTAGGCGCCTTCTGCGGGCATTTCTCGTTAATTTATGGCTCCCACGTAAACACATATTTGTGAACTGCATAAATGAGAGCTGTTCCTGTTCCAAAGGTTCTCAAGCTTAGTTCGCGTTGTTCAACACATATATCTAAGAAATCTAAGAGAAGAATTTCACAAGACAGTACAACTACACACTTATGCTTGCTGTTATGTCTTTTTAATGTCATACAAAATTATCTAAGACGACATAATGCTAGGAAGACGTCAATACTTTGTGCTTTATGTAGGATTTGGTCTTTCACAAGTTTACACACAATAATCTATTCGTCGATAAGGCGCCATTTTAGCAATGACTTGAAGCGTAACCGTCAGAGTAGTTCCTTGAAAGAAGAGACGTTCTTTACTTCAAAGTGAGGATTCCTAGATGCGTGCTTACCACAAGTCACATATTCAGGCTATGTATCTAGAGTTAGGTTCAGTGTATAAAGTCACTTGGTAAAAAAATGCAGCTTCTGACGAAGGTGTTTCGCGCTGGTTTCTTTTTTTTCTCGATCACTCTTCAAATATTTTTTTAAGCAAATTGCAGTACTGCCACGTAGGTCTCATATAGAAAAGCTCCACGCGTATATCAGTTACGGTGATGGGCAGAGTAAATGTTGTCCCTATCAAGTTGCTACTTGGTCTCGCACATTCCTACGCATTTTGTATATACAAGAAACTTTTATACTTTACGCAGGAGCCGGAGCCGGAACGGTGAGCATGATGCTACAAGTGTTCTTGAGCATGAATTTCATCAAGTACCGAGGCACGGCGCATGGAATGATGTTCATGGGATCAATAGTTTCGTCCCTTGTCGTTCCGCAAGCGCTCTTCTTCCTGGAAAACACGTACGGATTCAGTGGCTGCTTGCTGGTATTCAGTGCGCTGCTCTTGCACTTGGTTCCCATCAGCTTCCTTCTTCGGCCTGGCTCGCCAGGAAGCACCTCGTGTCAACTCGACACAGGGCAAAGCACACTCGTGGAAACGCGGGACGTGAACTTGAACATCAAGGATGTTCCAGAATCAGATAGCAAGTCCTGCTCAAGTTCGTCAACTTCGTCAAGCACGAATGGAAAGTCAGGAGTTCTCCAGAGTGCTGCCGAAGTTCTTCGTCTCCCAATGTTCTACGTAATCCTCGTGACGTGGACAGTGATGTGCTACAACGAGGACATTTTTTTGACAACAATAGTAGACTTCGCCGTCGACAAAGGCTTCGCAAAGAATATGGCTGTGCCGCTACTCTCTTATCTGTCTTTCACTGATGCAATAGGACGCATTGGGCTTCCGCTACTTGCTGATCGAAAGATCCTTCGGCGCAGCACGTTGGTTTGCTGCAACGCTGCACTCACAGCGACATCCGTCGCCATCATACCAGAAGCCAACACGTACGCTTTCCTGGTGGTGGCGACCCTTCTAGCTGCCTGTTTCAATGGGTGCGGCATGACAATGCATGGTGTACTGATGGCTGATTACATCGGGATGGATAACCTCCCCGTTGGATATGGCGTAGCTGGGATTCTCGTCGTACCACTGTTGTTGGTCAAGCCAGTGCTCATAGGTAATAACTTATGTGTCATCTATGCATCAAAGGGAATCTATATAACCAACTACCGCAAATATATGACTAGCAAAGTACAATAAAAAGACTAATCAATGAGTGATTGACGAATCGCTGGGGGAGCGCGATGGCCGAAACAAAGCGCCAAGAAGGAGGGGTCACACTCGTAAAGCTTTTCTTTCTGTTTGCTGCACGTGAACCGCTTTCGCGAACCGTGTGTTAATTATCTCCGCAGGCGGGCATGGTTTTTATGTAAAGTTCAGCGTTAGAACATCTTTCTTTGTAAATATGGAGCGACAACGTCTCTTGCAGAGAACCTGCAGTATTACAGTTACTCGTGAACGTGGAATTCAAGACAGCTACCTTTGCTCCTTGCATCATGTGTCTTTCTATGGTGCAAAGATAGAATATATGAACGAGCATTAACGAACACGACGCCAGGTAACACATGTGGGCCCTATTGAACAATCGCCACTTATTTTTGCCCCGCTGCGTTGTCCTTGCGTTGAGCTTAGCCTCACCGTATATGATGAATTCTAAAGCAATAATTCAGAAGGAAAAAAATAATTATGGGAGTCCTAAGCTTCGCCTTTAAGAGTTGAACACAATACAGGTATTTTGTTCTTAGTGCGTACTTCAAACACTTGGTGTACGAAATCTTTCCGAACTTGCTATGCATCCACTACCTGGTCTTAAGTGTGCAGTAACGTGTGTCTCTTTTGTAGCGGGTGACTGGCTTTTGTAGTGGGTGACTGGAGAGGTCTTCCTGAAAAACGGGTTTTTAGCCTGCTACTTTTCAGGGAGGCAAGGAGAAAAGGGAAAGAAAGAGGAGGGCACGATGATGGGTGATTCTAATATAGCACAAGGACTCACTGCACACAATGTCTCGATCGTTGTAGGACACGCACAAAAGTATCTACGTTAGCAGATGATCTAAAGACGGGAATCTAAACCTGTGTTGCTTAGAAATGGAAGCAGGCCCTTTAAGCTGCGTTAGGCGTGATCCACATGTTTCCAAGAACCTAAAGTTTATCTTCCAAAAAAGGTTCGCAGTCTAGGTCATTCCATTTTCTGACGCCCAGTGGCAATGTACGCATGTACCACGCATTATTACAGCAATATTTCATTTTGTATTGTCAAGCATGTACAGAGGAATCGTGTGATTACAAAGCAGGACAGTTAATTTCGCTGTATTCAGAAGCGAAGGCGTGGCTACAGCATGAGTTATTCCCATCGTGCTATACAAACAAGAAAGGATTGAGACCAAACACCTCACCAAGATCGAGTACCACTACCGTCTTAAGTATAAGATGTCATAAACGTCCTTGAGGGGAATAGCCATTTGAATGAAGTGTCTGCTTGAAGAGGTGGTGGGTTCTGCATTGTGTTCTTGCGTGCGTGTCTCCCATAAGCTGTACATATGCACAAAAAGGCGTGGCTGGGTGGCAGAACACCCTTTTGCCACGCGAGTGATCTGGGTTTCATCTATTTGAGATTCAGAATTTTTTTATTTTATTTGCATTTTTGCACTTTTCAGACACGCATCGATGCTCATTTTTTGGTCACACAATTATGAAGATTTTAACGCGATAACATTGAAGCACTTATTTCGTAGAAATTATGGCGTTTGTGTCGGCGTCATTGGTTGTGAGCAAAAATTTATCTTTCCGTGACCGAAAAATTGAGCATCTTTGCTTGACAGAGAAATTGATAAACATGAAATAAAAAAACATTGTGCCAGTGCGGATAGAGGCAAGCTCATTAGAGTATGAGGGTAAACCGCGCCGTTTGCGTGGAAAGCGGGTCTTCTGCCACACTGCCTTGCCTGCTTGTAAAAACAGTGAAAATAACCACCTCTACTTGCTAATACAATGAAAGTTACTTTAATGCTTAAAAAACACGCATCCTGCATATATGCTTCACAATACAACATGAACTATTGCCGTAATAATGCGTGTTAACAAGCGTGCATTGCCATGGGGCGTCAGAACATGGGATTATCTTCAAGACTTCATAGTTCAAAGCCAGTCACCCACTATGTAAGACACAAACGCTACTGCACCATCAAGGCCACGTAGTGGGTGCATACAAAGTTCGAAAAAAAATTGTGCACTAAGTCTTTGAAATGCGCTCTAGGAACTGAATATCCCTGTAGTGTTCAGCTTTTAAGAGTGAAGCTTAACGGTCATTGAATGTTCTCGCTTCCAAACGACGCCGCCGACGCTAACACCAAGATTTCCGCGAAACGAGCTCTTTAACGCTATCACGTTAAGAAGGTTGCCATTGTCAGCATGTATTTGGCTTAACGGCAGCTTTAATAAGGTCGAATGTCCTGGAAAATAAGTTCATGCTGCAGCAAAAAATGATAAAAAGTAAAAAAATCTTTCGAATAACTGATTAATATGACCTCTATGCACAAGTACCACCTAAGTAGCGCTATATCCTAATATAATAAATTCAGCAGCTATGATTTCGCGCATCAATTACGCGGCAGTAAAAACTTGCTGCTAAATATTGAAAAGTCCACTTTTGGCATATTTGAAGTCTTCAGGTAGTATTCGGCGAAATATCGGCCAGCTTTCAACTTGCAAAAAGATCACGTAATACATGGCCCCAGCTGACAAAAAGTGCTGAACACACGCTGTCATGGCTGCGAGCGGCGGTGGCTAGCGCTCTCATAACCACGGGAACAACGCCTTAAATGCACCTGAAGACTATTGCGGCTGTACTGAATTGAGGAAATATCAGACGCATTATCTGAAGGCAGCAGGTTCGATCTGTGCCGGTGGCAATTCGTGGTGTCGTCCACTTTATTTCTTCACAACTTCATCATAATTACCACTGTACACTTAAAATACCTCAAAAGCGTGCTCTATATCACTATGGGCTTTTTTTCTGTTAGTTTCAATTAGGGTGCCTTTAACAAAAAAAAATTGAATAGTTATATGCCACGTCTTCACCCTTTTGTTTCCGACGGTTATATATATATATATATATATATATATATATATATATATATATATATATATATATATATATATATATATATATATATATATATATATTGAGTGCTGACCAACACTCCGAATCGTCTGTTCTACTAAACATACATGCGATGTTTGTGCTTGCTATTTCATCCCATGTGCAGGTTATTTTCGGGACACACTCGGCTCGTACAACGACCTCTACAGAATTCTGGGAGGAATGCAGCTCCTCTTGTTCATTCTGTGGCTATTCATATCGTACCGGGAGCGACGCCGTGGGTCTCCTCCAGGCACTTCGCATCATGAGCAAACTGAATCATCAAAACTCAAAGAAATGCGTGACGTCTCGTATATCAATGATTGTAAACATTCATATATAAATCGATGTTTCTGTACAGAGAAGAAAAATTGCCACTCCTCCGGGGCCTTGCAAGACTGCGTTATTTGTGAAGGACCGTGGATCGTGAATTCATGTAAAAATCGTTCATCGTATCCAGGCGCTACCAAGGGTGCCCGTGAATGGACAGAAGAGAAGTGCTGTAGTCTGAGAAGTGTTAGCTTGGCGCACAAAAAACCGCCTGTGAGTTCTCTGGGCATTTTGAACTATGGCAGTGTAGCCGATAGTACGAGTAAACGAAACAGTTTATCTCCCTAAAATGATGACACATGAAAGATTTGGTTCAGTTGGACAATAAAGTTGTCCTTCTTGGATGCCGTAGGCACTGCATTTTGAGTTTGCCTAGGCTTTTGCAGAAAAGGCAACGAAGCTAGGTGATTGTAACAACTATTCATCACAGGCCATCCTGCGATGTAATCTACCATGCTGTGATGTGATTTTTTTCAAGAACACCTTCACAAATTTATCCATACTAGATACAGGACTTCAAGCCAAAACCTAATTTTTTTCTTTGCGGTCCTAGCTGTACACTTTGATATATAAGCATGACTAACGAGGCAAGTACTGGTACTGACAACGAATTGCTTTATTCTTCTTGATCCAACGCATATAAACGCTACAACCCCGGAGACTTGTACGCGCAAGCCTGGCGTGACGTACTGCAGACGTGAATTTATAGATGTCTAGAGAAGATGAGCACGAATGAATCCATATTCGAACTGGTACAAAGATAGAAACGTATCACTGATATGTTCATCCCTTTCATTCTTCATGCGCAATTCAAACCACTATCAGCGAGTATGGTTACTGTCAGCAGAACAGCAGCCACTTCTCGGAAAAGAGGCTAAGGCTACAAGCTCTAAATTTCCCAGTTCCTACTAAATTTTCAGATGAAATAGCACGCGTGTTGCGTGGCCATCAAAACTAGGGTTATGATTATAGGTGTGATGTATTTCTTAGCGGACTGCAGCGACCTTGACCACATCTATCTATCTATCTATCTATCTATCTATCTATCTATCTATCTATCTATCTATCTATCTATCTATCTATCTATCTATCTATCTATCTATCTGTCTATCTATCTATCTATTCACCCACCTCTAGAAGCTCTCGTGATTGCTTTGTTAAGTTGTAGTAAAGAACAATTATTATGGAAGGGTAGCATGGTTCGATGAATATGCATGGCTGGTCATGGCATAGACAACGTGAAAATGCCGTCCTGTACGGCATGAAACGCTCCCCATTAGACACGCGTGGCAAATACCCGGAAACAACGGGCGGTGGTATGTCGGTATGAGTCACAGGTGATAGACCGTTCATATATACTTAGAGATGTGCAAGTAAAGACATCGGTAATGTAAATGCGTGAGCATTAGGAAAACTGGCATCGGCCGTGTTCGCCCGATGAATGCAAAAAATTATACATCAGGGTATCAAGAGAAATCTAATTCAATAATTCCGCATGGCAATAGGGCATTCTACCACAAAATCACACCATTAAAAATATTTTAGAAAATGAATTTATACCGGCGTACTGTTGGTGAAATGTTGCTTTTGGTTGTAGTGCCGGCCATAGAATCTCAAAAACAATCCCCATGTAGACTAATGATGCAGGCATCACGTCGAGTTAACGTCGAATGTGCACTTAGGCAACATGTACCGACGCCTGCATTGCACAAGCCAGCGCTACAATCCTCGCAAGCGCAGGCGCTACATATCAGCTCACAGCTACTGCTATTGATAATACCTACTTTGCTGTTTGCATCGTTATGCAACTGTAATGATTGATTGATTGATATGTGGGGTTTAACGTCCCAAAACCACCATAAACTGTAATGAACTGATTGCATAGAACACATGATACTATTGAATATGTGTCGATGTATACAACACCTGCACATATCTTTAGCGTAGTTTCATAACGTTTTGTGCGACAAAAAGTACAACATCACATAATATCAATTCCAATAAGTACATGGGTTCTGCCGATTTTATGAGTTGATGTTTAAGAGTGATTCTTTTATGTTCAACAGTGTGAAATATTCTATTTATTGCGTGTATGTATTGAAGAGAGTGGTACGATTCCGAACTAGAGTGAAAACGGGATGTTTGTGACAAATTTTCTCACTATGTTAGAACATTATCTAAGGGTACTTTTAGTGTTATCAATAGCCTGTCATCTGTACAGCGTGGTTATACTTTCATGGTGTCCTATGTTGCTATGTTGCTCCAGTTGTAGTCGACATTTTTAACTCTTGTGGACAGGTCCTTAGACAGCCTCTTTAATAGCCTAAACATTTGGAGTATTTAGATACCTTGATGATTTATCGCCTTTTTAATGCTTACCACTCATTAGCTGAATGGGATGAACAAATTGCAAACGATTTAAGGCAACAAAGAAACATTACGCCATATCCCAGTAAAGGGAATCATGTGTAGATGCGAAGCAGCCCGCGCTAACGCTTACACTGGTGACGGCGTTGACGCTGGCACTCATCGTGACGTTGCGCCGGAGAGGCGCAAAACATGCAGTGATGCACCGGTGTTTTCTACTGGGACATGCCAAACACTGGACAATGAGAGACAGAAGACTCCGACTGGACACAGAGACCCGCATCTGCTTTTAGATAACGCAAACGGTGCGAAATATTATTCTTCAACAACGCACAAAAGAAATCTTCCACCTGCACTTCCTTGGAGGTCAAGATCCAACGCCCTTATATACGCGGTGGCCTCTTAATGGTTTTGCAGCTGAAGCAGTCCGTTTTTTTAAATTTAGAAACTTGCTAGCAGATGCCACCTGCGTCCGCGTTGGGAAGCGAGAGAGGGCGAGTGCGCGCACATGCATGATGGGGATGGAGAGCGAGAGAGAAATAGCTCTATTGTGTTGAAAAAAAAGGGGTTTAGGAGCTAGGTGGGTGGGGCCCCATGTTCAAGGCTCCACTGGCTTGCGCCGCCTGTCAGACGTGGTCCAGGAGTGCTAGTTGCACCTCCGGGTCCGAGCTAGTGAGGAGTGCCTCCCACTGCTCCAAAGAGTTTTCCATTCTATACATACGCTGTAAGCGATCGAGTTCATTTGGCCGTTTAGCACAACTCCACGAGATATGGTAAAGGGTTGGTGGCGAAACGCGACACCACGGACAATTGCGCCCATACAAAGCTGGATAAATTTCGTGCATTCGTAATGAATTTAGACAAATTCCTGTTTAAACATTACGCAGGTCTATGGCATCTTCCCCTTTGAGAGATTCGTGGAAGCGCCTTATTTCCGCCGCCTGCATCGCTGGTGAGCAAGAAACCCTCGCGGAGCCATCCGAGCCGGGTCGCTTTCCTCCTCCTCGTGAAAGCCGTCGTGGGTAGTGCGGGGTAGTAGTAACAGCGAGAAAGGCTGCTGCTCCACTCGGTTCGTTAATGCTCGAGCTAAAGCTTCCACTCTCTCGTTAACCTATAGGCCTGCATGTCCCGGGCACCAGACCAACCTACAAGTGTCGCTCTATTCACTGCCTAAAAATTTGCAAATTTTTAAAGGGAGGGGGCCTTTCGTGAATAGCCGGCACGCCTCTTGCGAATATGAGAGTATGGTGATGTACGTCTGGCCATCGTTCAGCTCTCTACGTTTAATCGCCGATGCGATGGCGAAACAGTCAGCCTTGGTGATCGATGTAGTGTACAGTGATTCGCTGGATGCCTTGCTTCTCGTGTCGCTTCTTACCACTTTGACGACGCAGTGCTTCCAGTTGTACCTGGAAGCGTCAGCGTATAGCACGTTCTCATTGCCTCTGAATAATTTTCTGATCCATTTTAAACGCTCCTCTCGCCTTTCGTGATGCCGCTCCTTGGTCATGTTCCTGGGGATAGGGGTGATCGAAATATGCCGTCAGACTGGGTCTGGTACGTCTACCAGCTCCTCATCCAAGTTTTGGGGTTGCAGTGGTATACCCGCCCTCATCAGTGTCTCTCTTCCCGACTTCGTCTGGCTGAGGCGGTTGCACTGAGAAATCAATGTTGCTGCTTTCAGTTCAGCGTACGTGTTATGCAGGCTGATCTCGAGACGCCTGTGTGTCGGAGTGCTTATAGGTAAGCCAAAAGCTGCCTTGTAAGCCTCTCTGATGATAGAGTCTACTTTCTCTTCCTCACTCTTGTTCAGCGTGTGGAAAGGCAAGCTATTTGTCAATTCGCTCATTACGAGCGCCTGCACTAAGCGGACAGTATCACTTTCCTTCATGCCATTTTAGTGGAAGGTGATCATCTGAATCATCCAAGCCACTTGTTTGGTTGCTCTTCAAGACGATCGATAGTGTGATTTTGCCTACCATTGCTTTGTACCCAAAAACCCAAGATCCGGGCGACGGAGACTTTTTTATTATTCTGCTTTTCGATTTCGATTTCTATTCTTCCATTACTTTTGTAGCGTTTGCTGTGTATTCTGATCACCTTCGATTTTTCGGGTGCGCTGCTGAGACCACTGGTTCTGGCAAAGTTTTCTACAGCCAGTGCCGACACTTGCAGAGTCTGCTCTTTGCTGGCCAGGGACCCCCGTGTGGCCCACTGAGTAATGTCGTCCGCGTAGAGGGTATAACCTAGTGGTGATACACAGTCCGAAACCCGAGTGAGTCAACGCATAGCGATAATAAACAACAAAGGAGATATTATGGCTCTTTGAGGCGTTCCCTTGTTTGGAATTCGGAATGGCTCAGACCTAACGCCTGAGATACCAATCGTCGCCTCCCGATCGGTGAGAAAATCTATTATATAGTTATATATCTTTTCCCCTCAACCTATCATGTTTAGCTCTGAGAGTATAGCTTCATGAGATACATTGTCAAGAGCTCCCTTTAAGTCAAGAGCAAGCAACAAATGCTCTCCACCTTTGGGAACGCCTTCGAGGACCTGTTCTTGTATCAGGTGGAAAGAGTCCTGTGTTGAGAGACCACAGTGGAAGCCCAGCATGGTAGCCGGAAATAGCCCCCTATCCTCTATGAAATTCTCAAGTCTGGTGTGAACGACCCGTTCGAAAAGCTTCCCCGTACACGACGTGATATAGGTCTTAGCGCCTGCAGCGAGAATCGGGGTGTAAACGCCGCGGTAAGAGAATGGGGAGCGAGCGTATGCTAGGAGGTGCTGTCCGCGTCAGGTGTTGCCGTCATGAGAGGGTGAGAAGACGCGTATGCGCAGTAAGATGGTCGCGCCACAAACCTTATGAACTCCACCATAAGACGCTTCGCATCCAAAAGAGCTTGTTTCTGTTTATGAGGTGTATTTTGTGAATTATAGAACCTAGGCTCTAACTACGTAATGAAAAAGAGTGTCTCACCCACAGTTCATGC